TTTACGTTATATGTTTTTTTTATCTATCAAAAGTTGTTCAATCTTCTGAAAATAAAAAAGTGTTCTTTCACGCATTTCTTAACTTTCAAAGTTATCCTTTACCTACAGAAGTGTAAGCACTTATATGAATATCATCTATGATGTTTACTGATGCAAAAAAGGACGATTTAGTAATTATGTCTAGATTAAAATATTATGAGATATTAGACGATGTTGTATGTTTGCATAATTGAAAAAAAAGACATATATCAAAATTTAGATTTATTTGCTAAACATGATCTGCTTAACAATTGTACCTTGTGACTTTTTCCAGCCTGAACAAAGGGGAGGCGTCAAGGATTTTTATTGTAAGAAATGACTATTTTCTTTTATAATATTTCTCAAGAACAATGACTTACTTTAGTAAAATGAGTTTAACTCGTACTAAAGTTTACATTTTTCTATACAGTTTGCCATTTCGCTCGGCTGTGGTTGTGTGCAATTTTTTTTCAGTCTGAATATTTGGATTCTGAATACCAGCAACTGGTATTTTCTTTAAAAAAAACAAAAGATTTTATCTGATAACCATTATTCTCCATGATTGCTGAATGAAACTTGTTCGAATTAAGATCATTGTATTATAATTGGCATCAATAGTGTTACAACAATTTGTACTATAAAAAGCTGTGCATTTCTATACGAATCAAAATCATCAGGTAACACAAATATATGTACTTAATAACTCAATAGGAAGTCGATATATAAAATCGATTCAGGGTGTTCTGGAACAAGGTTACCCGGTAATTGCTGCAGTCTCTTATTACGATATCTGCTTTTATGTGATAAAATATCTATTAGTATAATTAATTAAGCGGGTAAAAATCCGTTTTTGTCTTTATTCTTGATGTTAGTGTTGACAAGACAACATTGCTTTTCTCTAACCAATTTGTCCATGAGAGTAGAAAAAATAAAGGGTTCATCTTAGTGAAAAGACATTCCTTTTTTTTCTTTCCCACACAACACAGATTGCAAACATTATTCTGAACGTTTCAGATGACGTAGCAACAAGTTTAAGTTTAAGCCGTATCCTCCTCGTAAATAGCCATAGGGAATATTAAATTTCAATATAAATATACAAATATTGTTGAATGCATAAAGACCCCACATTCCATTAGCATGGTAGTTGTTACGCGTAGTACATGAATATCCTACATTGTGCATTTAATTCAGTACATTTTATTTTATTAAATGTGCATTTTTATGTAATTCAGTATTTCACTCAGAGCCTGTATAATTCATTGAATGACATTTGATATTCTTAATATAACAGTAAATAATTTTTAAATTAAGATTTAGTTTGCACCATCAACATCAAAAATATTTAAAAAAGTTTATTTTGGTAAAAAAAAGGGGGTATTGTACAAGGTTTACAAGATTGGAATTCCATGCAGCATCACTTTTCATATTTAACATCTAAACTGACAAATGTACAGGATAACATGACGTACAATACGAAATGAGAAAATGGTCAAAACCTAGACATTCAAAACCTAGACATTCATCAATACAATCAAATAAATTGATATAACTTTTCGTTTCAAAGAATTTCAGATGTGTTTTAAATAAACATTTATTTAGTATATTAATAAAAGATCTTTAAATCCTGTTCGCTATCTCCATATCATTCCTTTCATAACATTGGGTTATATACTTTTTATTGAATCCATCAATCTGTACTAAAGTTAATACATTTGTAATTTAATACCCATAATATTTTATTTATTGTTAAGGTATTCAATGTATAACAACGATTAGAACACACCAACGTAGTTTTTGAACTTTCTTTTCTTATTATCCATAACTGAAATTTGATATATTTAAGTTAAAGACCGTGTTTCAATTAAGGTCCGTCAGTTAATGATAATCTCGTTTTTTTAAATTTTAGTTTAATCAACTTTTTTCATTGAACAACGGGGGATTTAATTATCATGGTACTTTTCGACAATGATTCATTATGTTTTGGATTTAAGTCGCTATGCATGGTTAGCAATCTAGAAAAAAAATAGATATGATTTTTCAGTGCAAGCATTGTCGAAAGAAGATTGAATGGTTGGAAAATTTGTTTCTCAGTATTTCTCTGTTATAAATAATTCTCCACAAAAATGATTTCTCAAAAATATTTTGCTTCGTTTTTCAGTGTAAACATTTGTTTAAAAGTACCAACACCTGATTTTTTTTTCCTCAAAAACAAAACAATTTAATTGATATCAAACGTTCTCAATGATTGTTTAATTCCACTGGTTAAATCATGATCATCTTAAGGATATTGACTACACTATGGTTGCAAACTATTGCTATTTTTGAAATTATTTACAATTAGTGCATTTCAAGTATTTACTAGGAGCTGAATGATAGAATGATGTGAAGTCTATTTTTCAACAAGGAGACCTGGTAAATGAAACAGCTCTCTTGTTACGAAATCACCACGTGTGGAAGATATATCTATATTTATATAGTTATTGTAGCAGGCTAAAGTGCGTATCTTTCTTAATTTTTGTAATCAGTTTCTCCATCAGTGCAGAAATATAAAGTTTTCATTTTAGTCATCGGGAGAGAATATCACGATTTTTGCACAGGACACAGATTTTAGAAAAATAGGTAGAGCTATTGTTCTGAACCGCTCAGGTGACATAGCAACGATTTAAACTTTAAGCTGTATCCTCCTCGTAGAAAGGCCTACGGGAAAATAAAATCATGCTATTTATATACAAGCATTGTTGTGTGCATAATCGCTTCGCATTCTTTACACTTGAATACATTAACATGGTAGTTGTAAGGCAGCGTAGTACACGAGAATATTACATTGTCGTTTTTATTTATTTTATATTTTATCTCATGTTCATTTGTATGTAATTCATCAATTCATTAATGATCCTATATAATTCATTGATTGTCATTTTTATATTATGTTTCATATTAAATAATTTCAATGTCATATCTAGATTGCACCAGGAACCTCAACTCTTAAAAAGATCTTTTAAAATTTATTTATTTTCTTATAAAAAGGTGATATATGTGGTACTTATACTAGAATAAGATTGCATTCATATCACTCTTAATAATGTCAAATGCAAAGTCACGTGACGCACAGAACAGAACATGGTAGTGGTGAGAACGTGACATAGCCTTTCGTCAATATACAGAAATCACGTCATATAACTCTCTCTTTTTACCCTCTTTGTAAATTTCCGGTGTATTTGAAATAAACATTTATTTATTTTATTTATAAACAAAACATATTTATTGCATTGAATTATAGTTACTATGTAATTAATCTGTGCTTTAGTACATCATTTCATAACCCAGAGTTATTATTTCTGTTGAATCAAGGTTATGAAGGTATACTCTATCTGCATACCTTCGAGGACTTCTTAATTAAGTGTTATAATGAAATGTTTGTTTAAGCAAGTAAACGTCCAGGGAATCAATATATTTTTTTCAGCTTCATGCCTATCTTACTGTGGTACAAAACCTTTTCCGAGCTGCACGCAAAAAATTTAAACGTCACTTTGTCGCCATAAATTTTACCTGTATAGAAGATGACACGGTAAAACAGCTTAAAGCTTGCTCGTAGGTATAAATAATGTTTTGCTGACAATGAACAGCTAGTATGTCTATACTTGTAGTTATTACAGCAAGTTTATGTGCGTATCTTTGTTTTAATTAAAATTGACAAGACAACAGGGCTTTTCCTTCACCGACTTCTCCATCAGTGCATGAAATAAAGGATTTGTTTTTTAAAGTCATAAGAAAAGGAATTCCGTGTTTGTTTGTTTTTTCTCACGACACAGACTGCAGAAACAGTCAGGAGGTCATTATTCTGAACTTCTCGGGTGACATAGCAACGAGTGCAACTTTAAATTATACCCGCCTCGTAAATAGCATTATGCAATATTAAATGTCATCTCTTATTTGCAAGCACTGTTGTTGCATTATAACATCGCATTCCTTACACCTGAATGTATTTACCGGCTGCATCTTACATTTTTTTTTCTATTTGCGCATTTTAAAAATATATCAGAACTTCTGAGACATCTCTTTCATACTTGGATTTATTACCGTATAAGTGGAAATTTTTGGGAGTTGCAAATTTAGCTAATTGTCTTTTAAAGATGTTTTTTCTTATCTTAAGCGAAATGTAATTTTAGCGATTTTAAAACGCTTACTAAGAAGTTATTACAACAAGTTTTGCTATTACAATTTTAGCGATCTTAGCACACTCAGTAATTATCCTATACATGTAACTAAATCCTCGCTAAAAACGCTCCTTACATGGTACTTGGACAAGATGTTAATGGAAATCGAACAACCAAGCTCTATGACTAACCTGATCAATTTAATTTTTTCATTATCATATCTAACTTATGCAGCAATACACCTTCATAACAAGCATACGGAGTTTATATCTCTAATTTGATTTGATATGAAAAAGCATACTCTACGTATGAACAATTTAAAAGAAAACCACAAAAACTTGACGAACAAGATTGTTAAAACAAGAACCATAACAGTCTCGTTTTATTTCACCATTTCCTCAGCCCTATGTTCGACACAATGACCTTGTCAGCATGCACAATAATCATTGAGTCGATTGCTGACTGTCGTTTTTGAAGTCTTTTTGTCCGTTATTTATACACTAAATCGACAAAGTATTTCCATTATTTAACAATAATGACAAGGAACACACGGTGGATATTACCGGTCGGCAGGGTATACTCACTCCTCCATGACACCTGATCCTACCTCTGCTGTTTTGGAAGTTCGTGTTTGCTTTGCTCCTATTTGCATTTTTTATGATCTATGATCTTGAATACTTTTCATTATATCCATATATATCTGTCATCGAACATGCATTTTTATCACTTTCAGCATTTCATTCATATTCATGTATAATTCACTGACAGTTTTTAATATTATTTTTGAAACATTAAATGATTTTAAAATCACGTTTAGTCTGCACCATGAACCTCAACGATATGAGTAATTTATTTTGGTAAGAAAGAGTATAATACCAAATACAATAATGAAATTCCATGCAGCATCACTGTTTTTTTAACCAAAAAATGATCAATGCAAAGCTTAATATGACGTAAAAACTTAATAGAGTAATAGATCAGAACCAAACCTTCTTCAAGATTTCATGATAAAACCCTCTCTCTTCCTTATTTGTCTTTTTACAAATTTATTTGAAATGAAATATATTTATTATATTCAACCAATATTCTTTTTTTCTACTAAAAGTTGCTATTTAATAAAAAAAATTGTGCTTTAGTACATAATTTCATAAAAAAAATTGTATTTAATTAATGCTTTTTTGTTAAATAAAAGTAATGAAGGTAAACTCTAACTGTATCCCTTCGAAAACTTTTTTAATTGAGTGTAATAATGAACTGTTTGTTTAAGTAAGACCGCGTTCAGGAAAAATAAAAGTTCTGTTTCTAGCATTCTAGCAAAATCATGCTGTTATTTCATGATTGTCTTTTCTGTTTTCCATCTTCCATTCTCTACTCAAAATTGGGTAAAAAAAATGACATTTTAAGAATCATCCAATGACTGAATTTATAAAAAAAACAATCAATGACATTGATAAATTAGTATTTTAATAGCACAAAACATCCTTTCACAGCATATAGAAGAACAAACAAGTCAGTAGTGCCGACAAAATCGTCTCTTTTTTTTTCTTCCAAAGATTCACTAATTGGATGACGTTATAAAAAGCAACATATTTGTATGAAATTTACACACTATAACAGCAATGTACTCTTTTTTGGGGTCAAACCACACATTTTGACAAAGCTCAAAACACCAATGCTGTTATTCTCAGTCAGTCTGTGGGATTATGGGGAGCGGAAATAGACGCCAACGATCAGGACGTCTGCACAGGATACACATCTGTCTGTAAAAACTTTCGTCGTACTGTAAACAATGTACTCAGTGACACTTAATAATGTAAGCTTTACATTACTATCTAAAAATGCCTATATAACAGTGTTAATGGATCGAAGAGAATAAACAGATGTCTCACGTGTAGTCCGGGGGTTATAACAGGCTATAGGACAGTCCACAGGTCAGTAATCAGAGATCTAAATCAATTGAGCATGGGTGACCTGAACGTGAAATTTCTGGTACTGATTTATGTAAAAAATATTATTGATTTTCATTTATATAATGCAAAAAAATTTACAAACCGCAACTGTAACACCTTAAACATTTTCAGGTTGATTTGAGAAAGATTTTGCTCAGCTAAGAATGGTGTGGATTTTGTTACGTTATTGATTAACCAGTACGGACAAGGTGGGACCTTAGACGCTCAAAACCCCTTACCTTACTGCGGGGCTTTCCTCGTCACAGATAGAACCGAGGCGTGGGTGGTGGAATGGACCGGGAAATTCTGGGTCTCGAAACAAATAACTGGTAAAGATCCTGATTTATAGTGTAAAAAAACATTTTAATCAAAATTGTCAATCATATAAAATCATCAGGTTAAATATTCATTTAAACAAATAATTTTTTTTAGAGGGTGCCTACAGTATATCAAGTTGTATGTCCATTTCTAAGGAATACGACCTAGCGTCATCAAAGTTACAAGAACAAAGTGTGGCATTAGGGTATTGGTCAAAAGAAAAATGTCCTGTATATTTTTCTTTGGCTTTTGGAGCAGAATTTCCCACATGTCTGGGTTGTGTAGATCTGATACACAGCGCAGGACAGGATGTGATCTTCTGAATAACAGCAAAGATCAAGGTTTTTGTCTGGTGTATTATTGATATTTTCATTCTTATTATGTAATCAACTTATTTTTTTTATTATCTTCAGCTATTTAATATATAACTATTAAAGTTTAAAAGCTCAAAACAGCATTACTTATGAACAGTTAAAAATATAAAAGCAAATTTAAAAGTTGCTTTAGAAAATATGTCGTTTTCAGTTTTTACACCTTTGTTTGCTTTGTCGATGGAGAAGGATATGGAGATAACGAACAGTATTCAATCTCAACGTCCATTAAACAAATATACAAAACAAGAGCAGAGCAAACACGGACCTCCGAAACATCAGAGGTGGGATCAGGTGCCATGGAGGAGTGAGCATCCCCTGCCGACCGGTCACACCCGCCGTGTGCTCGTTGTCATAATCAGGAAATAACGGAAAAATTCTGTGGTCAATTCAGTGTATAATTAATGGACTAACAATTGGTATGAAAAACGTCAGTCAGCATTTCATTCAATGATAAATTGTATTTGCTGACAAGGTCATTGTATCGACCATAGAATTTACGAAATGATGACTTTAAACGAGACTGTTGATATTCTTGTTTCATCAATGTGTTTGTCAATAATTTACCTCGTTTAAGAAATTGTTCATACGTAGAGCATGCTCTTGCGTATCGAATCAACTGAGATATAAATACTCTGTATGCAGGTGATGAAGGTATATTGCTGCACAAGTAAGGGAAGTTGACGATAGAAAAGTTAAAGTCATCACGTTTATCATATAGCTTGGTAGTTAGATTACCATTAGTGTCTTTTTCAAGTAAAATATCCAAGTATGAAGCAGAAGTGTCGGACTCTGTGGTATCTTTTATCTCAAGCTCACCAGTATATATCGTGTCGACGTAGGAATTGAAATTGTCATTATTAATCGACAACACGTCGTCGATATATCTAAATGTCGAGTTGAAGGCTATAGCAAGTGTTTTCTTCTTTTCACGCAAAAGATTTTGCATAAATTCTGCTTCATATGAAAATAAAAATAAGTCTGCTAATAACTGAGCGCAATTTGTACCCATGGGAATTCCAATAGATTGTTGGAATACCTGGTCTCCAAAAACCACGTAGATATTGTCAATCAGAAACTCAAGCATCTTCTTGATGTCAACTTCAGAGTACTTATGTGTGCAATCAGAATCTGTTTTAACGAAATAATTTTTCAAATGACCAATGACGAGGTAAGTAAACTTACGAGTTCCAATTTTGTTGAAGAAGCAGCTGTCAATGATATCAAAAAGCCTGGATTTTAATTTGTCGTGGGGAATTGTTGTGTATAAAGTTGAAAAGTCGTAAGTTTTTATGCTGTTGATTTTTGTAAAGTCTTGTGATTTCAAATTGTCCAAAAGTTCTTTAGAATTTTTAAGTATCCACATCTGATTTACACCACTTCTTGAATATATAGTTGTACAGTACTCTAGAAGTTTTTCCTTCACTACTGTCAATATTTTAGTGAGAAGTAACGAAAGAGGCTTGGTTGAACATTTACTGGAACCTGCAATGTATCTTTGTTTGTAAGGATTCTTATGACGTCTCGGAATCCAATATAAATAAGGTAGTTCAAATTCATTTTGGCTCTGTGGAATATTAAAAGTATTCAAAACTTTTAATTATAGAATCTTGTCAATTTATTACGATTTACGAAAATTATATCACAAGCAAGTTATCTGCAATAAATTGAATATCATTTCAACTATTGGAATAATTAGAAATTTAAGTTCCTTCTCTTAAAATACCTAACCGCCGTATACTGTATGCCAACATGAAAATGAAATAAAAGCAACAAAAAACATGTTTACACACTCGTGCACAAGTAAGCACAAGTTTGAAAAGTGTACAAATCATACGTACCTGATTTTCCGTTGTTGATCTACCTGGAAAATTATTACTGTACATGTATCAAAGAAGTAAGAAATTTTACAAATCATTTAGTTGGTCCGCTACAATTTTTAAGTTTTATCTTTTATTAATCTAATTCGTAGAATGATATGGAGATAATGAACAGTATTCAATATCAAAGTCCATTAAAAAATACAAAATAGGAGCAGAGCAAACACGGACCTCCGAAACATCATAGGATCAGGTGCCATGGAGGAGTGAGCATCCCCTCCTGACCGGTGTGTGCTCCTTGTTTAATTCTTGCTTATATGTTTACACAAGATCAAACACACCCTTTAAGTCAGGCTAAATGGTGGCTTATAGGTCCTTAATGGTGGTTTAATGGTTGTCTGTAAGTCACCATTAAGTCACCATTAAGCACTTTTAAGTAACATTTACACCACCATTAAGTTACCATTAAGCCAACTCAAAGTCCTTAATGGATGCTTAAATGTAGCTTAATGGTGGCTTATGGGTCCTTAATGGTAACTTTTAGTCCACCATTAAGTCACACTTACAGGTGCTTAATGTCCAAACTCCATTAAGCTACCATTAAGCTACCATTAAGCCACCATTAAGTCAAAATACGCAGTCGATAATATTGTTTATATGGGTTAAAAATTATTTTATAGTGATTTGTTATCACTATTATAAATTTAGAGTTCGCTTATATCTTGATTTGGTAAAAATAATGAAAAAAACGAAATTCAAAATACAAAAAAAAAACGCCCCACTCGGGGCGAGTACCCGGGAACTTAGGGTTGCAAGGCGAACGCCTTATTCATTAGTCTATCGCCGCTCTTGGTTATATATGGAAAATATTAAATATTTAGCCTTTATTTTTTTCAAAATTTGTTTGGACATGTAAAGGTTTCTACTAGAATTTGGTTGAACATTTCCAAAAGTCTTCAATTGATTTATTTATCAAAATATAAACCATTTTATTTGTGGATCTTAACACATTAATATATATATTTCTATTCTGAGTTCGGCTTTTAGATTGAAGTAATGTGATTGAGTTCTTCGCTCTGTTAGTGTTTTTCGAAAATTTTCGAAATGTAAGCATTAAATCATGATTGAAAATAAATTAATTATGGATAAAAAACAAAAGTCTATCATCGAAAAAGAAAGAGGAAAAAGCATTCTACTATTATTTAGCTTGGTAGTTAGATTCTTTTCAAGTAAAATATCCAAGTATGGAGCAGAAGTGTCCGACTCTGTGGTTTCTTTTATCTTTTATGTAATTAATTCATTCTTTTGCCTATATGTGTACATGTACTATAAGTATAGCTTTATGTAATTAATTCATTCTTTTGCAGCATCGTTTTCTGTGGTAAACATGTTTGACATATTGAGAAATAAAACAAGCGGAATTAATATGACATGTCACCTGATAACAACCTGAAGTCACGTGTCTGTCTGTCTTGTTGTCTGCTGGATTACCAGATTGTCATTGGTTCACTGTGTCACGTGGTCAAGCTGGCTATCTCCAAGAATCACACAAGTTCAATAAGTTTAATAAATTTATTTACAAAAAAAAAAATAATAATAATAATAACAAAGATCTCACACAAACTACCGCACACAAATTCACACCCTCTTTCTCACTATTAAACAATTAAACAAGGAGAAAAAAAAAACAATTGGTAATCAACAATTACCCAATTAATAAATTCATTAATCAGCCAATCAACCCGGGTATCTAATTCAGTTATTAATGCCAAACATGTTCCCAGATCATAGATTATCCTCGTCATCATCACGATCATGATCATCAACATCATCCTCATCCTCGATGCAGGAATGAAATCAAAAGTTTGCCTTTTCTTATAAAGCGCTAACTCAAAGTTTCTTGGATAGACTTATCTGTTATCCGTTCACCAACAAATATTTGGATCCACGCACAGCACTCTTCCGGGCCTTAGTCCCTGGAACCTTTCGCCGTCACAATGATCCCCTCAGCTCAGTCTATGTATCAAGCACAGGTCATACCAATATCCATGACGCTACAATGATGCATATTTATAAATCACATGTTTCACTACATATGTTTGGCAATACCACAATATATGTTTGGCTATTCATTCTCAATATAAAAATAATCAAAAAAGTATTAAGTGTAATGGTTACCAGTTAACAAAGTCAAAACAAATTATTGCCAATATGGTGCACCTTACTTTAAACTTCCGGTCATTCACTTCCGCCCAGACATTTAAACCAAAATTTAAATTGACAAAATATTCTACACAAAGTAACAAAACTGAGTACAAGGAAATAGCGAACATTTAACAATGAAAACTTTAAACGTTATCGATATAATACAACAGCCACTCGAACACTCTCGCTAACCGTCACACCCGAGTGAACAACAGGTAAAATGGTGAGAGCTGGCTAAGAAATAAGAACGAAGTTGTACTTAATAATAGATTTGCCTTTAAAATAAAAACTATATATAAAGCAAATAATATCATAATATTATAAGTAATACTTACCACGGACCTGTCTCCGTGCCAGTGTCAAGATAAAGCTTGTATGGCTATTAACATATACTAGCTGCTTAAAAAAAACGTGTCTGCAGCTACGTTTCTCTGCCGGGAATGACCAGGCCTCAATTGTTCTGGTCGGCCTAGCTATTTTGCAAGGACTTATGGGTATAAAAAGTATAGGGACAAAACGCGGGAAATACAAATTATATTACAAGTGCAATAGTGATTGTTACACACTGCTACACCTGATCAAAGTTTATCCGTATTTACTCCTTTTCTGTTTTCTGACAATGTTGACATAGGTGATACAACACAGTCCCTTTCCAATAATGACAGACGTCACATCCTGTACAAATATCACGAGAAAGCGTGGAAATTTATGTCCAGTGGAACACAGAAAGGGGAGGATTTAGTTCACTTCATGAGAAATGTGGAGGAAAGGTGTGTTTCAGAAATGGATCAATTCTGCCAAAAATTTTTATCCAGAAAATATGTCAGACATTGAAGAACGTTTTAAAGACATGTGTGAATCTGAGGTCAAAATTTATCTGTGAGTTTACAAGTGCAGTAAATATGCAGAGGATATTGTGTTGTCATTGTGTCAAAACTGACAATTTCCAAAAAAAAAATGCTTCGGTCCTCATCATGAACATTAAAACATGTGCTTTAAAAGTAACTACTTTTAATTTGCAAAAAAGCTAATTTCTAGTTCGTTTGCAACAGTGTTTTTAAACAAATATAATGCAAATTCATGTAGTTTTGACAAGATTAGTACATTTCTCACATTGATTACAAGGAATCTGGTAGCTTGATATATCTAAAAAAAAATTACAAAAAAAATTGAAATTTCAGTACATTTTTGGTTTATATATTTAGTTTTTAACTAACACTTTTCAATACTGTGCTACATTCAACAATGTATCTTAAGGTTCTTGCTTAAAAATAATTTTAAAAATAAAATTATATATGAATAATTATTCTTTTTTTTAATTGTCTCTGTCAAAATACAATTATTGATTGTTTAGATGGAAAAAAAAAATCACCAATAATCCTGTCTGAGCAAGGTTGTCATACAAAATCTTCCCTTTTAAACAGTCCTGGATTATTCTGTAACAAGTGTATTCTCAAGAATCTAGATCATTAATGAGGTTGATCAGAAAATATCTTGTGTCCTTTTATTCACTGCTTTGGAAAAAATAAACAGATGATGCCATGCGTGTATGGGAGACATATTGAATTGACCTCCGTACCGGACATATTATAAACAATCCCATAGGCTGTATAATTCTTAAGAATAATATTAGAAATTATTACCATGTACTCTCTACTTTCAAAAGTTGGGAATCAAACGTACTTCAAACGGACAGAATTTTCAGACATGTTATTGGAGGTAATTTCTAAGTTCAGGACACCGTCGTGAAAAAAATATTTTCCCTTATCCCTTTCTAAAAAAAAATCTCTAGGCAGGACGGATGATACAATTTTTTTCCTTGGGAGAAGACTTGATATTGTGTCACAGTTAGAGAAAAGTGGATATTATTTTGAATTTGTTCTCCTTAACCACGGATAATGAAAAAGCTTCCCCACCGCAAAGTACACAACTATAGTGATAATAGTAAACATTGTTTAATCTTTATTCATTTCCGTCTTTTTTCTTCAAACATGTTTCTAAATGACAACAGTATAAGTTGATATTACATTTACTCAATAAAATGTTGTATTTTCTATCAAAAGAGAAAAGACAATGAGAAAATGTTACGTAATCAATTACAAAGAAATCACACCCAGTATAGGTTTGCACATAGGCATAAATTTCAGAATAAGTTACATGAAGTTAAGTGCTAAAATAAATTTAAAAGAATATAGCAAGTCAGGTGAATTTTTTAAGGGAAGGCATGGTAAAAATAAACGTATGCGCTTTGTGATTTATAAAACATTAGCGAGAACCTGTTATGTTTCTTTGTTTGTAAGGATTTTATGAAGTTTCAACATCAAACATAGATATGGTAATTCAAAGTTATTTAGTTTTCTGGAAATCCTAAAAATATTCCTAACTGAAAAATGATTTTGAAGAATTTCCTCCATAGAAAGGAAACTATGAGGATTATTAGTTGGAGAATTAAATAAGAGGTTTCACAGTTTATAATGACTTACAAAGACAGTGTTTTTACCCGTTTTGTCAGCAGGGACCAGTACGTACTGACCGTGAAATCTTTCTTATTCTTTTTTTACACTTCTGAATAATCAAAGACAGAAGTGCGGTAGAGAGATACAGCCTTAAATTACATATTGCGCGATTCTAACATCTGATTACTATTCTTCCATTCCAACAAAGTGTTTTATGTATGGCCCATTGTCTGGAGTACACTTCTAGAGTATTTATGCCATATATATTTACATTTCCAATGTCTTTGTCCGAGATAAAATTACCAAATGTAAATGTACTTTATTTCCCCATCAATGTTTGATGCGGTTATGCAAATTATCACGCAAGCCAATCGATTGATCACTTCATGAATTCGAAAAATAAGACAGTTATTCCTTAGATAACATAACGCAGAGGACCTTAACAGGTAAAACATTGACTCTTTTGAATTTTATTATGTAAATTGTATCTAAGAGGAACATAGATTTGATTCTAGACAAACCTTGAAATAAAATATTTCACAAACTCTGACATATCTATTTACATTTTTGGATATTTTATATATAAGATGATGATAATCTTGCGACGAAGGTTTCTGATAAATTTGAGTACTTTAACTTTTAAAATCGTAGACTTCAGTTACTTATGGAACAATATACCTTCTTCATTTGCGAACAGAGTTTATACCTTGCGGTTGATTTGATACGCAAGAATATGTTGCACCTATGAAAAACTTCTAAAACGAGGTAAATTATACACATGACATGTATGTTAAGATTACAACCAAATATTCTACTTGCCTATATAATTTCACGTCTATAGTAATTTATAGACCTGAAATTAAGAGATAATTATTTCTTAAAATCCATATCTAAGATTCATTTGAGGTGTATAAATGAATTAAATTGCAGAGGCATTTCCCCTGAACCCTTATCGGAGTGTCCAGTGAATATCATGTAATAAAGCATGAATAAGGTAAATATAATGTCTACAATTTCATCTTATGTATCAAAATATAATTTTTTTTTTAAACCTAATTTTTGTTTCTACTTATTTTAGGGTTTTTTGATGTAGTGCTGCTAGAAAAAATGCTGGCCTGTAAAATTTAGGGGAATTGATGCCTTTCATCCGCTTCTCAAATGAACAAACTTATGTAAAAATTATAGTTACAGACATCTGAAAGTTTCAATAATTACTGTGATACAAGGATTGTTTTTTTCATGTGTTCAGATATTTTAACATATTTGTGTTTGTGTTTTTTTCCCCGTTGGAATTAAAATTTACGCTATATATTCATTGACATATTTTAGTGGAATTTTTGAAAAGAGCAGAAAATAGAAATACATTCAAATACTAGCTATGATATTATTGATATTCTGAATAGAATGACCTGTGATTATTTTATTAACAATATGTTATTTCCCCCCCCAAAAAAAACACTCAAAAAAAAAAACAAATAAAAATTTCACTTTTAGTTATAGTCTTACATTGTAGCGCATAATAATGGAACAACTGTATTCCTAACTTACGCGTTTTTGTTAAAATTTAATTGTAATTATGTATCATACCACATCGATTTTCATGGAACATATTATTTTAAACAGACATATATTTTTTCTAAAGAAATCCATGTAATTTTCACTGATATAATCTCGCAGATATACATGTAACTGATAAAAAAATCTTAAATTTTGTTCACATAAAAAGGAATTTTTTTACACTGACACCAATATAAAGATTATATTATGCACTCTTTAGGGTTAATTAATTATACACTTTTTTCATTAAGCATATTGGGGTCTGATTATTGATCACCGGTGAAAATAACACCAGTGCATATATATTCGAAGCGATTATCCGACTTTAGGGTCTAATTAATTGCATGTATTACTGAACTGACAGTTTGATTATTAATTTTGAAAATTATCAATGTTAATATATATAAAAAAGTATTTTTTTTCCTCCAATTTGATGTAACTTCTGTGTGCTTTTAAAAATTAATTAATGAGTGATAAATGAAATATCTTGTGCTCGTTTTTGTTATCAATTTGATAAATTAAAATCGTAATACTTTAAAGGTAAGATGTACATCTTAGGTATATTTCTATATATTTCTATGTTTTAAGGTGCTGTTTGCTCTGTTTTTATTTTGTATTGTTTTAAAGGTCGTTACTTTACAGGTAAGAACATCGCATAGAATAATTTTTCTGGCCCCGCCGCGGTGTAAACACGGTCTCAGGTAGCACCGCGTCAAAACCCGCTCGGTGTAACGCGGAATTGATTAATACACCGCGGAGGGGATCTTGAATAATTGTTCCTGTATGTATTTTTACTTTTTGTGATTAAATTTTATTTTGCATATAATGATAATGACATTTCTAATAATGATTGAAATTTGCTCTAAGAAATCTTACAATTTTCCTCGTCACTCTTGTCGTTACAATCTTCCTTTCCATCACAAAACAAAGTCCTTGGTATTTCCTTACTTGAAAGTTAGCGGAACTCCCCATTTTTGCAGTGCATGTGTTTTATTGTCATGTTAATAAGAGTGTTAAAGTATTGGTTCCTTTAAAAAGAAGTTTTAAGATCTGTAATTGTTTTACACATGTTTTTATTTGATTGTTTTACAGGTCGATTTTTTTATTTTGTAAAGTTTTAGGTCAAGAGTTTAAATCTGTTTTTATATTTTTTGTTTTACAGGTCGATGTTTGCCTGTAAAAATTTAATTTGTATTGTTTTAGTGAATTTTGCTTGTTTTTATTTTGTATTGTTTTACAGGTCCACTCTGTTTTTAATTTGTATTGTTAACAAAATGATTGTTTCAATTTTGTATTGTTATACAAAATGTTTGCGTAAACGTTTATATTTTTTTGTTTTAAAAAGTGTCGATCGTTTGCTCTGTTTTTATTTTGTATTGTTTTACAGGTCCAGTTAATGCTCTGTTTTTATTTTGTATTGTTTACCACTGTTTGCGACTGTTTTTATTTTGTAGTTTTACAGGTCCTGTGTCGCACTAAATGTTTGCTCTGTTTTTATTTTGTATTGTTTTACAGTGCCACACATGTTTTTATTTTGTATTGTTTTACAGGCTAGTGTTGCTCTGTTTTTTACAGAAAATTGGACATTGATATCAATCATAATACAAAATGAGAACTTAACAAAATCTTATTTGCTCTGTTTTTATTTTGTATTGTTTATAATTGCATAACTGGCGGATTTTGCATTGTTTTAACATGTTTGGAAGTTTTTATTTTGTATTGTTTACAGGTCAATGTTTGCTCTGTAGTACACTGTAAACATTCAAGAAAATATTCGATCATAATTTTTGCGAGTTTTCTTCCAATGCGCGTAGTTTTTCAAATATATTCTTGTCTCTTCTTATCCCCATACATGTATTTTTTTTTGTGGAAAATGGCAATTAATTATAGAATGACAACCATAAAAAAGTTTTCGACATCAATTCATAGCAGTTTATACCGGTAGTACTAAATGTAAATGTTTTAACTTTGATGTTGTTTTTCTGTTAATTCTTGGATCCACGCCTCAGCAGATCATTTGTGATTCAACGCGCTGACCTAGTTAGAATATTCCATCTGGTGCAGACCAAAGATCATTTACGCAGTAGCCTACATGTAAACATGTAGATGATTGAATAAGTACATATATTTTGAACCCCATGCAAACAACCAGCAGGCGATATTGTGTGTCTGACCCTCTGTGATTCCTGTGCAGCCCCTTTTCTTTTTCAATGTTTGGATCGCTCATTGTTTACCGCTCTATATTTAGAAAATCGCATCATCATCAAAGTA